GTCTGCCTCATGTGATGAAGTCATGTGCCTGTCCGAACCTTTGTACACACAGCAGGAGGCCTTTCCTTTCCGTAGCATGTACAGTCTGCAAAATACACATATGCATTCATCCCATATGACAAATATACACATGGGTTTATCCCCACATAGAAGACAGGTCTATGCCAGAAATTCAGTAAGTGTGAGGTACCACTGACATTAGGGTTAACAACTCCTGGTTGGAAATTCCTGGAGACTTGGGGATGGACTGTGGGGAGGGTGATGTTTGGGAGAAGAGGGGCCCCAGCAGGGTATAATGCCATGAAGTCTACCACCCAAAGGAACTGATTCCTGCAGTCTGGAGATCACATGTATTCCTGGGAGATCTCCAGGCCTCACCTGGAGGCTGGTAATTCCAACTGACATTAACCAAAACAAGACACTTCGTTTCTAGCCTCACTTGATATTTCTATAGTTGTTTACAAAATTCTCTATTTGGATTACAAGTATCTTGCAATAGTTTATCCTTAGGAGTTATTTCTACTTACAAGATATTACCCAGGCAAATGTTTTGATAGTGAATGCATTTTTGTCTTATGTTCAGAAAGCACATGCATACCCATCCTTCAGCCCACAAAAGGCTGGAGGGAGTGGACATTGCCAACAGCTATTTTGAAAACCGGGGCATGTTTTTGCAGCTGTCTGCAGAGCTGATGTGCCCCAGCAGCCAAGCCAGCCAACCAGTTAATTTCGACAGAATGCCTTCCTTAGAGCGTCACAGAGACATTTTGAGAGCTGGCTGTGGGCTCTAGTAGAATCAGTAGATGCAATATTCTAGGCCTGAATGTTTCTGTTCCAGAGGAAGTAATTTAGACAGGTTTTGTGGGTTTTTTAGGACGAGGGGGATCTATCACACATATAGAGGTTTTGCAAAGCATACTGTGTGTGTTAAGTGCCCTCAAGTTGCTTTCAACTTATGGTGACCCTATCAGTTAATGGCCTCCAAAATGTCCTGTCATTAACAGCCTTGCCCAGGTCTTGCAAACTGAGGGCCGTGGCTTCCTTTACTGAGTCAACGCAGCTCTTCTTGGGTCTTCCTCTTTTCCTGCTGCCTTCAGCCTTTCCAGCACTATTGTCTTTTCCAGTGACTCTTGTCTTCTCATAATGTGACCAAAGTACAATAGTCTCAGTTTAGTCATTTTAGCTTCTAGGGAGAGTCCAGGCTTGATAGGACACAACGAGGGTGAACAGTCCCTTAGCAGACCAGCTTCAGGATTAATTCAAACAACCAAAAGATGGAGACGTTAAGGAGATTGGAAATAGGCATAGTTGCTCATTGGATGATTTTTTTCTCTAATAAATGGTCGGAGACAACTATGAGACCAAACCACATGAATGTGTCCTCCACCGGCAACACTGCTATACCATCTTCAGCCATCTTGCTACCTACAATTCTTTTAGCAAGTATTCTGATTCCCACAAGTGGCATGTTGAGTGGATCTGTGCTGTTAATCTATTTATCTCCTATATTTAAAATACATTTAACAATTCTTCTAGTGCCCCAGCTGTATTAGCAGCATTGCACAAGCTATATACATGGTTGCTGCATGGAACACGTAGGGTGAGAAGTCTTTACTTGCCTTCCACTTTTTAAAAAGGAATAAAATATTGAAACCTCTACTTGCCACTTAATTTAATGTGCCTATTATCCTCACCTACTTCCATCTAATTTTCTGGGTTATCCTGAAGTGTTGTGAAAGTCATTATTATATGTAATCAGTGATTGAGCTGCCCTTATTCAGGAAGCCAAGTGTTGCTGAGCATTACAATGCATTTTCTTATTTTTACACTAACAAAGACAGAAGAATCATAAGTGAATATTCCACGAAATGTATGCTGTTGACCATTTCACAGCTTGGATAATATGTTATTGCCTAAATATAAGTCCAGTTTTATATGTGTACTCAGCATTAGGGATGAGTACAAACTGCATTTCATAGTGGTTCATGTCCCTTGCTTTCTGCTCCCCACTGCTTGGAGACATTTAAATTCTGCTTTCTGCCCATGAAAAATGGTAGGGAGTAGAAAGCAGGGGGTTAAATGGCTCCGAGCTGTTTAAACCCCTATTTTCTGTTCCCCATAAAAAGCACTGGGGAGGAGAAAGTAGGGTGTTAAATGGAGCCATTTAACACCCTGCTTTCTGCTCTTCACAAACCACCACAAACTGCCTTAAAATTCATAGAAGTTTGGGATGGCTCTTCAGTTCATGGACTTTGGTTCACAAACCATGAACTGGACAAAATTCATCATGAACTTATGTTCATGAACTGGTTTGTGCCCATCCCTGTTAAGCAGGGAAGGAGGCCCCTTCAGACTGGGGACTGCATGGGTTGGGCATCCCCTGTTTGGTATAGTGGTTAAGAGTGGAAGACTCTAATCTGGAGACCTGGGTTTGATTCTCCACTCCTCCACATACAGCCAGCTAGGTGACCCTGGGTCAGTCAGAGTTCTCTCAAAGCTCTCTCAGCCCCACCTACCTCACAGGATGTTGTGGGAAGAGAAAGGGAAGGTGTTACACGGATTGCCTGGGGCAGTACACGTGTACAAGGGTTCTTTATACTCTATGTATACAAGGGTCAAATTGCGAGAGATACCAGTGGAAGGAAGAGCCTTTTTGATTGGATAAACAGAGTTTTTATTGTAAATAAATGCAAAGCCCACACTACTCACTCATGCAAAAATAATAACAACAGATCAACGCACACAGAGCTAGGAAACAGAGAGGTGATCAATAGTGACAAGAAGGGGGTTGGTTTTAGATTAGGGTAATATTCACCTGATCCTGGAGTCTGGAATCCTCATGGAAGGAGGAGGACATGGCCAACTAGCAGTTCATGTAAAAGGCTCAGACAGAGTCTGAGGATACACTCTTATGGGCGCCTCAAGGGCTGTACAAAAATTGAGGTAAAGATTGCCAGTTTAAATGTGGTTTGGAGAGCCAGGGGTGGGTAGCTAGATTAAAATTGAGGATGTGCAGGATGCTTGGTTTCACCAGTGTTTGTCTTTCTACACGCCATTGGCTCGATGTTAGTTGGCGAAAGGGTGCTAGACTCTGGAAATTACTTTGAGGAGACAGTTCGGTTTACCCAGATTAGTGCCCATGTCAGAGAAGATGGGATTTAAGGATTAGTACATTGATGAAGATCTTTGTTCATTATTGGCTGATCATGAGGTCCTGTGTACGTGCTCCTTCTACAGGACTTGGTTCCTCCTGATCTAGGTTGGCTGGTTCAAAATGGAGTCTCTTCTAGCACCCTGTTGCCTGCCTATGCCAGACCAATGTGAGGTGTGGGACCCTGGTCTTACTGCCTCTCAGACTGCCGGGTCCCTCTGAGTTTTTCAGAGAGAGGGAGTTTAGCACAGGTACCTCTGGGGAGGTAACAAAGGAGATTGTAAGCTGCTCTGAGACTCCAAGTGAAGGGCAGGATATAAATCCAACTCTTCTTCTTCTTCTTCTTCTTCCAGGCTTTTTCCTGCTGGGCCCGGCTTTGCCGCTGCTGAAAGATACCCGACCCACATGGTCTTTAGGCTAGAGGGGCCTCCTTCCCTGCCAGCCCCACCTCCCCCGCCACCACCCTGGGCTCCAGGGGTGGGTTCGGCTGCTGTACTGCTGCTGCATCCTGTGGATGCAGCCCTGCTACTGCTGTGTGGCTTGCCACAGCCATCTCCTCTGCCAACCACCTCAGATTGCCACCCCTTCTCTGCTGCCAGTCTCCTCCTCCACTGACCTCCTGGGTGAATTCCTGATGGAAGGTCCAGGGGGCATCTTCAGGTGACGGGGGAGGGTGGGTGAGTGCCCAGGCTCTCCTGGATTGCTAGGCAATGGATGGGGGGCTCCCCTGTTGAAGCAGCTCCTGACCCTGGACAGGCTGCTCCCCATTTCCCAGGTTTCTTGTGCAGTCCCTTTAAACTTTAAAAGGACTGAATAAGAAGGCCCCAAACAGCAGAATGGCAGGGAGCCCTCCTGGCCACTCAGCTGTTTTTGCGGCTTTCTGTTCTTGCCAGGAACTGTCATGAGCCCCACAAACTGCCTTAAAATTTTGTGGAAGTCTGTGGCCATGGACCTGTCATGGACTTTGGTTCCCAAACAACGAACAGGGCCAAATTATTCACAAATTTTGTTTCATGCTGATTCCTAGTCCTCAACATTTTTCTTATCTTGAGATTACTGCTTGTAATTTGATGCCAAATTGTAATACAGACAGAAGAGTGATTGCCCATCACTGATTTAATGTTTTACTCCTTGGCTTCTTTTTTCACATTATAAGGTAATATTTCAAACTGAGTTTGAGTGGATGTTATATTTCAATAACTATCATAGCAGAAATTACTGCTAACATCAAAATTAACAAAATGTAAGTAGAACTATTGTTTGGGGTTTTTTTACTTATGCCCAATAAAATCTGATTTGTTCTCTTGTCAATAAAGTTATTGGACAATCCTATGATTAAAGTTACTATCAAATCTGGCCCCTTTTGTGTAAAGAGAGATGTCATTTCAAAGCAATTAATTAAAAATTCCTGTAAGAAGGACAATAATTAAATATGCTTCTATCTAGAAAGCATAGATGGCATAGAACAATAGTGAAAAAAATCAGGGCCTGCCTTCTGTTTCCTGGAATTCAGAAATGTCCACTGTTGGGGGAAAAAAAGAAAGAAAGACCTTATGGTGACTGATAGAAACATATAAGGAATAAACGGGATGCTGTTGAAATAGGAAGGCCTTCTATTTGGAAGACAAAATCTGGCTGACAATTGTAAAAGGAAATCTATTGCCCGTGCAGTGTTCCATCATTTGCTTTTCAATGAGATATGCTTGGAATATTTCTTTTTTCCTGTTCTTCCTTTTTGTTCAGTATTCTGAACAGTACTTTTTAAAAAGATTTTTTAAAATTAGTTTCAATTGTAATTGATTTTGTATGTGTTGTATGAAAACTGGATATGATATTTTTCCATTAATAGTTCTCAAGCTATGATGGGTCTGGAACTCCAAAGTGGATTGCAACTCTCACAGGTAGGTCATAAGGTCAGGAAGGAGGAGGAACAGGAACAGGAGTCTCTTCTGCATGCTTGACTTGCTCCTGATTTTCTTGGGAGTGGATCTACAAGCATTGGAACCAGTTTGGGCAGGGTTTCTTTCACAAGTCAGTGCCATTTCCCCCCCCCCCTCGTTTAGCAGTATGTGTATAACCACATATCCCATGGGGAACTCTCAGTGTGGAGGTGCAATTCATCGTTTATGTGCATGGTAAACAAAAGGCAAAACAAAACCCCACTCGCGCGAATGTGCTATCTGATCAGGCAGTGACGGGCTGAGCCCGCAGGTACAAAGGACGTGTGCTCATGCAACGCTGTGTCAATTTCCACTGGCAAGATAGGCTCACTTCCCCTCCACACCAAATGGCACGTCTGACTGCAGCCAAGATCAACTTCCAGAAAAAGACTGGGGTAAAAAGTGGTTTTAAAGGAGCCAGAAAAATCCTGGGGGATAACAGAAAACTGAAGCAAAATCTAAAGGCACAAAAATGCATGCATAGATCAGGGGATAAACTGAAGCAGTACAGGTCCAGAACTGATGGAGGGAAAACATGTGTAAAAGCCCAGGGTGAACTCTGAAAAGACGTTCTGGAAGGCTCAGTAGCATATTTGGGTATGCCTCTGCATAATGTGTGAAGTGGCCATGAAATGCAGCTTGTTGCTCAGGGATGCTGTATATGTATACATACTAATTTAAAAAAATATATAACTGTGTCCACTATTAAATTATGTAAGATTCCTGCATTTTATGTCTGGGGGGAGAAGCATGAAATTATTTGGCAAGTAGGTCACAAAAAAGTACAGCAAGGCTGCGATCACATGCACAATTAGACCCGAAGTAGGTGTGAATGCTGGGGGGATTTAAAGGACGCAATCAGACAACAACATCTGGGAAGTGCCCTACAGGGTGGAAATGGCCCACCCCCCCCCCCCCGACTCACCAGCAGTTGTGTCTGATCACACACTGACGGACTGTGCCTGCACCTTCAAAGGGAGGTGTGATTGTGCAATTGTGGGTCAAATTCCTCCAGAAGAAATAGCCTCGATTCCCCCGCCCCCGTTTTTTCTGGCACGTGTGACCGCAACCCAAATGTAGAAGTGGGTCCAACTTCAAAATGTTTGAGAACCATTTGTTTCCATGCCATGTTTTCCCATGGTCCAGGTACTGACAGCAATCCTGCAGAAAGTATTTTTCTGTGTGATTGAACATCTGTGTCATTCTAAATCCCAGCAGATTTACTATTAGTAGCACACACCATTTCTAAATTTAAGCAGCTCTGAATGTAATTTTTTCCAGGAATAAAATGCTTGCAAAGTATAAAACCAGTAAGACATTTAGTGCTGTCAACATGTGTTGTTGGGCATTATGCTATTGCTTAACTGCTTATTCTCTGTAGAGTGCAGCTGTGGATATAGTCCTTTAGATTTGTACTTATCATGTGGGGAACCATCTAATGTCACAGAAAACTTGCCAACATGAGGCATTGTGATGTGAGAATGACAAAACAATTGGGAATATATTTAGTGGCTTCCAACCCAGTTGTCCTAGTGGTAATAATGGTAACATCATGTTTTCCTGTACTTGTTGGTATTAGGACAGCGGGAACAGCAGACATGGTTTGACAAGAAAGCCAATCAGCAGAGAGTGCTAACTGAACATAAATCAGAGAGCAGAGATGCTAAGCATGCCACTATTGTCTTCAATGAGCCACAACTCATGAGTTATTTGTAATCACCATTGTCTGGAGTTACTCAAACTGGTCTCATGAGAACAAAGTAACTAAAAAAAACCAAAAAAACCCACCTGTTTTGTCAACTTCAGCTAGTCTAGGCATTCTCACCTACACAATGATTATGGGTGATTAACAACTGCAAAATAAACTTCACTATCTTTGACTTTGATAAGCCTTTATTGGCATATGTATATGCATTTATTTATTTATTTATTTATTTGGATTTATATCCCGCCCTCCCTGAAGGCTCAGGGCAGCTAACAGAGGCATAAATGCCAGATTATAACAATAAAAACAGTATAAAATACAATAATAAACATACTATAATTAAATAAAATCCTTAAAAATAGACTTTCGGTGCTCTAATACTTACTTACTCCAAATCGTAAACCAAGATGGTGTTCTAAGATGTTATACAATGAGGAGCTGCGGTGGCTCAAGTGGTTAAAACGCTGAACTGCAGGCTGTGGAAGGTCAGTAGTTCAGCAGTTCAAGACCCGGGTGCCGCATGACGGAGTGAGCTCCCGTCTCTAGTTCCAGCTCCTGCCAACCTAGCAGTTTGAAAGCAAGAAATTGCAAGTAGATAAATAGGTACCACTTCGGTGGGAAGGTAACAGCATTCTGTGCGCCTTGGTGTTTAGTCATGCCGGCCACATGACCACAGAAATGTCTTCGAGGAAAACAGCATAAAAACAGAAAAACCTAGTGGTTACTTATCAGAACGTATAGCCATAGCACTAAGAAGAAACCTTGCTACTATTTCTGTTATTTCCGTATCTGGATTATCAAGTAAAAACAGAACCTTAAAATCGTCAGGAATCTCTGGGAATTGAGCTAATATAGGGTACAAAAGATCCTGGCGGGGCACCAAATAAAAGGGACATTGAAGGAGGACATGGGGGACAGTTTCAACAGTCCTTCATACAAGGACAGCACCTGCTGGGGGATCCCCTGGAATCTGCCAGAGAGAAGAGCAGAAGGAAGAACATTCAATCTGGCCAAGGAGATGGCTCTGCACAAATTTGGAGCTATAAGTTGATAAAGGTATACAGCTGGAAAATTTGCATTTAGAACAATCCCTAAATTTAGGGGAACATCATTATCTACTACATAATTTCCATCTTATCTTTTCCATCTTATCAGACATTTCTTCAGTTCACTTTTCCATCTTATCAGACAGGTCCTCAGATTCTTTGGTTCTATGTTCCACCTTCTCCCAACCCTAAGAAACTAACAGAGAGCCATTGTGGTGTGGTGGTTAAGAGCAGTAGACTCTGATCTGGAGAACTAGGTTTGATTCCTCACTCTTCCACATGAAGCCTGTGGGGTGACCTTGGGCCAGTCACAATTCTCTCAGAACTCTTTCAGGCAGGGGGAAATTGTATTGCCTGTAAATGGGAATGCTTTTTCCTATCTGTCTGAACTTTGGCAGAAAAGATCCCGTGGGCGAGGAGTACAATCCCTGAAGGAAGTGTGTTTTCTAAAATGCACTGAATAACTAAAATAGTAGGTAATTTAATGAAATCAAATCTGTTTTTTTTTTTAAAAAAAAAACATTATGCACATCCCTAGTTAAAAATCTCCCATTCCAGAAAGATTTCTTTGGTCTTAAAAGTGCCACTGGACTCAAACTTAGTTCCCACATTGGTTGTTAACTCCTTTATTATCTGTATAGCAACTTACTGCTGTTTACATATCTTGCCTAATGTGTTATTCCAAACTAAGCTGTATTTATTGCTCAGTTACTGAGGCAACTTGACTGTAATTAGGTCTTCATGGCAACTAACCCCGCTACCTATATGCAATATCTGAGGAAATTTGTTTCAATGACTCTGAAGGACTGTGCATACCAAGTCTCTCAGTTCTTGCTTGTACCCTGAACTGAATTTTATTTGTCTTGTGGGTTCCACTGGACTCAAACCTTGTTCCCACATAGGTATGTTAACTCTTGTATTTGTATGCTGATTTACTGCCATTCACAGATCTTTCTTACATCCAATCTCAGCTATAATCTCCCAGTACTTGTGCAACTTGACTCTAAATGGCCCTTCCTGACAATAACCCCCACCTCACCCCCTATAAGTAATGGCTGAGGAGCTTCTGTTCTGTTCCACTGTATCTGAGGAAGTGTGCTTGCACACAAAAGCTTATACCTTGAATAAAACTTCGTTGGTTGTAAAGGTGCCACTGGACTCAAACTTTGTTCTGCTTCTTCAGACCAACACAGCTACCCCACCTGAATCTACAATGAACACCGTGTGATTATAATGTTTCTGAAAGAAAGGGACTGCTGCAATTCTCAAGAAGTATCTCAAAAAGTCATGCTGCCAATGGAGGGAAAGTGGCAACTAATCCTCAGTTCTCACATCCTTATTTTGTGCCTCACATTGCCCTAGGCACACTTTGCCTCTACTGAAATTACTCTTGCTATATCATGTGACAGACCATCAAAAATAGTCCACATATTTAACCAGTTAATGGTTCACTAAGTTGTGTGCCTTTCAAGGGCAGAACCAGAAGCCCATGATTTGTTAGGCATCTCTCTGCTGACACTTCCTAACATAAAAAGTGACAGATGACAACTGGCTTTCTTGTTGGTTAGTTTACAGGTGTATGTGCATTGATGGGTAGGCAGTGTCCAGATGTTCTTTCCCTGACAGATATTTTCTGTGGTAGGAATGCAGTTCAGGTTGAAATGTCCTTGATGCTGGGTGAAACACCCATTCCCATAGCCATGGGCATGTGCATTCTTCTTCTTTTTTACTTATTGGATTTTGGTCACTGACTTTTCTTCTCATTGTCCCTTCAGGGTTGACCTTGTGTCTGTCATCATGTTGCAATGTAAGGTAAGGCAAAGCTGTGTCCTAGATTCTGGTCCCTTGAGTGCCTTGGCTTAACTTCATGTGCTAATGTGCTTTGGTTCTCACTGCTTCAGCCCTTTTTTACTCTTCTCCCCTGCAATAAATGCTGGGAAATGCTCTGAAAGGGTTTTGTGACAATTTTTTTTTTGCATAAGTCAATTGCTTAAGCATATAAACAAAATTATTTTCAAAAGAAAGTACGTGGAAAATAAAACAGACATGATTTCGACACCTTAAAGCGGGGTGGCCAAACTTGCTTACCATAAGAGCCACATAGAATAAACGTCAGATGTTTGAGAGCCACATGACATGAACAGATATTACACACACATTTTATGGGGAAATGTGCCAATTTGCTTTTTATTAACATTAAATGAGACTGCCAAAAATAAAAAAAACAAAAGGAGTAAAAATAGATATTGATACTGATATTTACTTGTCCAATGATAATTGTAGACTGGAGGAGGGCTTTGAGAACACATTTAAAGTTGCTTTCTTTCTCTGTCCCCCCCCCACCTCAAGCCTACCCAGGGAAGGGAACACTGGCTGGGGAAGGGAAGACCGATCGGGAAGGCATGCCTCCCCTTCGCTTCCCCAGCCACCCTGCCGGGAGCCACACCATATGTGTGAAAGAGCCGCATGTGGCTCCGGAGCCACAGTTTGGCCACCCCTGCCTTAAAGACTTATATAACTATAAAAGAGAAAGGAATAAATCTTAATAACAGAACTATAGCACATGAACCAAACATGCACAGACATGCTGAAACTACTATGGCTGACCACTTGTGTGACATCAAATGTTGGATGATTACTGTTTGTGGTGTAATAACAACCATCTCTCCAAACAAACTAGGGAAGCTCCTTTCCAGTCGACCTTGGAAATTTATGAGATTCAAATTATATTGCTGAACATCCTCCATCTTCAACATAATCTAGGACTAAATTTAGGTCCAGTGAGGACTAAGCCCTCCTCACTATAATGTCACTTTGCCCAAACACACCTGGATGAAAACACACATGCACATTTCCCTCATTCCATGCTACTGAGCAGACATGGATAAGCAGGTCTGCAGCACAGAAGGAAGGATTGCCAGCTTACAGGTGGGGCCTGGAGATCTCCCAGAATTCCCACTGATCTCCAGATTTCAGAGATCAGTTGCCCTGGAGAAAATGGCTGCTTTTGAGGGTGGGGTCTATGACATTATACCCTGTTGAGATCCCTCCCCTCCCTAAACCCCACCCTCCTTAGTCTCCACCCCAAAAATTTCCTATCCCAGAGCCAGTAACTGTAGTGAGAGGCCGGCTTATTGTTTCCATGCATGCTCACAGCAGCATTTAAGGCCTAACAGAAGCCCCAATGAAGTATTTGCTTCCCATGACTATGTGGTACAGTAAATTTGAAAAAGGGAAAGCTGGAGGGATCTCCCAAAAGATCCATTTTGGTTCAGGCCTGCACTTCATGAAGCCTGGGCCTAATTTTAAATAGATCTGGGGGCAGGAGACCCATTAAATCTGGTACCCAACCCCCTTCCTTTCCAGGCTTTGTCTGATCTATTAATTAGCTTTGATTCAATAATTTCATATTCTGTCTAGGAGGAAATGCTAGCTTCCTCTGTTAACCTTTTGCTTCACGGGTATTTAAAAACACCAGAACATAATATCCCTGCTGGACCCAGACCAATGGTCCATTCTAGACCAACATCCTGTCACACACAGTGGCCACAGAGGCACAAACCCTTGGCCATGAACCAAAGGGTTCTTGTCCTTTGGGCCTTAGCCTGAGGGTTACTGCACATAGGTGTTGTAGATAGGTGTTGTCATTTATGACTTTTTAGGAAGGGCAAGTGAATGATCTGTCCATGGTGATCTATAGTCTGATCACATCCAAGTTAACTGTAATGCACTGTACATGGGGCTGTTTTCAAAAACTATCCAGACACTTCAACTGGTTCAAAATGCAGCCTCCAGACTACTGTCAGGGGTGGGATACAGGAATCATATCATCCCAGAACTGAAAAATCTGCACTGACTGGCTCTTACCTTTCAAGGCCTAAATGACTTGGGGCTGGGGTAGTTGAGGGACTACTTTCTTCAGTACTGCCCAGCCTGCCAGTGAAGATCCTCTGCACACGCCCTGC